ATATATATATATATATATATATATATAAAGGTACTTAAGTACAACAACAAAGTGGTCCAAACTTTACACAAATATGTTACTAAGAGTTACAATCCCACATTCATAAATTTCAAAACAAATTAATAGATTTACAAAGTAAACACACAAATAAGGATTCTGTTTTCTGGATTTATGCAGAAGAGGATTAGATTTTTCAATCTAAAATTATACGTTTTGGTCCATAGATTTTGGTATTTTATGTTTGGTAAAGGGCGTGATATATCTTTTTACCATTTTGGTAATTGTTTGATTGTGGTATTTAACAAATTTCGTGAGTGGGTAATTGAAGTGTGAGAATGACTTATTGTATTGAATATGAAATGTGAATGAGACAAGTTACATACACATCATGTTATGTCATGACTCATCTTTACCACTACCTTCATGTGCATGATTGGGTTCACTCAATTACTATAAATTATTCATTCATGTATTCATGGAAGGTAGGGAAGAGCAAAATGTCTCCAACCAAAGATAATGAGAATAGTGAGAGTAACCATGAAGACACCGAGAAGAAGAAAACTCTTGGAGGCATCAAAACCATGCCATTCATTCTAGGTATCTTCCTCCCACCATTCATGTCCCTATCTTTCATATATCTCTAGAATATCTTATCGACATCAATCCAAGTGATGATTCAAAATAGATTTCCTAATAGATTTCATAAGCATATGGTACAAAATGATCCAATGATTGTTTGTATATTTTTCTTAATTATGGCCATGGCTTGTGAGCAGATTTTTAAAGGAAATTCCAAAGGAGTAAAGAAACACACACAAATATTCATATCAATATAAAGTCCGGATTAACAAGCCAATGCCGCTCGTATATGTGGGATGTTAGCAGATAAAATATTTACAAAAGATTATCTAAACAACGATAAAAACGTGTTTCTTTTATATTCACATAGTTTGCGCTTTAGCATTTTTACCTTTATATGTTTGTTGAATAAAGGTTAGACAAACAACAGCAAGTTTATACATTCCAAGAGTGTAATGCCAAAATCCAAGTTGATTTTCTTTTCTGAATAACCTAAAACGTTGTTTTGCTATGTGTTAATTATGGTAATTATATTCCAATATTTTTTTGAAGTTTCAAATTAAAAATTTAAAAAGTACATACTTTATATATATATATATATATATATAT